ATTTGGGAAATGCATTTTGACTTTAGAAAATAGCGTTTGAAGTTTCAAAAATGTGTCAGCCTGACATACTTAACTGGTATCTGCTTAATTTACGAGGGCTTTTTCATAAATACTGATTATTTTTAATAAAATTAATTTTAAAACTCTCTGGAATTCGTTTGTAGGAAGGTATAATAAAGAAACACTATGTAAAACATCCTCAAAAATCGATTTAACATATCTAAAATATACCGTTCCATTTGAAAATTTTAAGAAAAATTGGAAACATTCAATTGTTTTGAAATATTGACCAATAGCGTCAGTCCTTCTAACCAGAATTTGAATTTTTCATAACAAAATTAAAGAACAGACTCTTGTCTTTCCAACGAACCTAAGATCGACCCAATTCGTTGAGTCGTTTTGAAGTTACTCCTGTTCTTAAGTTGCAATATTTGACAGCTCATAACTATCTTATCCGATAAGTTATCGTAAAAAGTAATATATTAAAATTGTGTGAAATTTCATCAAAAATCTATTGCTAGCATTTTTGAGATACGTTTCCATTTGAAATTTAAAAAATAAAAACATTTTTGTACTTTGACAGTTGGGTTACGCCCCCTTACGGTCATTTTAGAAAGCTGAATTATATTTCCAGCATTTTCTCTTGGCCATATTTATGGGATAATTTTTTTCCGACAAGACCACGATGAATAGTTTTTGAGATATGGCCGAGTGCTATTCTTAATGAATCACCCTGTACAAGTTGGAACTCTTTGGTGCTTGGCAAAAAAAGTCTCAGATGGTGGAGCCGCTGTGTTAGTCTTTTCAAATTATGCCAAAATCCGCATTCAAAGTAGGTACTGCAAAACACACTCGGCTGAGAATATCGCTGCTTATCTGTGCAATTAATTTGGATTTTCCAAAATACTCACAAGTTCCGGAATCAAATATCGATGATCTGACTGTCAAAGAATGCAGATATTTTTTGATTGACAGTAAAATATCATACATAAAGTTATTCAGGATAGGTCTGTGATCCTCAAATAGGGTTCAATAACAAATAACAATTACGTTGGTGTTTTTTCAGCCACACTAACTGTTGCAAGCATGAAGAGGTGAGTCCTCTTCCCGCATTTTCCCTTCCAACGAACACAACCACAAAATCCTTGCCAAAATTCCTAGACGATCTCAAATATTTATCCATTAGGAGACCTTCTTCCAAATTGGCAGTTGATATGGAAAGCGTTATAGAGATATCTCTAAACAGCATAGATGTGCCACTCACATAGGGTCGGTTTCCAATCGTTAGTAAATGCGGCTTTCTTTTTTGGCCCTGGGTCACAACTGGGCGCTCATCAACACTGGAATTTGGATTAACACTTACACTTAAGTGGCCTGTGTGTGAAATTGACCAATTTTTTCTCTTCAAGTGGTCTGGAGCAGTCTCAGAAACGGATTCACCAAAAAAACTGTTTGAGTATACAGGGTGTCCCAGGGAAAACAGTCCACCCCGATTTATTGGGTTTGGGATGAGAATCTGGGAAAACGCTCGGACACGTCGATGTTTGATTTGAGGGGGAACTATTTTTCAGTTTTTTTCTGAGCTCGTAGCTTCAACCTCCTAGCTAGGGGGAGGACAACCCCCCAAATTTGAATAGGGAATAGGGGTCGTGTCATACCTCTTTTTAAAGATCTCATCGAGTTCTTTATGGCCCTAGAATTTCATCTTATTATTTCGATCCGTAACGAAATGACAGCTTGTCAAAATCTTGGAAATGGACTATATTTTAGTAGAAGTAAAAGTGGTACTTACCTCCCTTAATAAAAATACGAGTAAAAATACCTACAATTTACAATTCTCGTGTACGCCTCATTAATTTATAATAAGAAAAAACTTCATTTCAAGTATTTTTATCAGGGGAGGTAAGTATCGCTTTTGCTCCCACTAAACTAATAGTCTATTTCCAAGATTTTGACAAGCTGTCATTTCGTTACGGATGGAAATAATGAGACGAAATTCTAGGGGCATAAAGAACTCGACGAGATCTTTAAAAAGAGATATGACATGACCCCTATCCCCTATTTAAATTTGGGGGGTTGTTATCCCCCTAGCTAGGGGGTTGAAGGTACGAGGATGAAAAAAACTAAAAAATAATTCCCCCTCAAATCAAAAATCGACGTGTCCGTTCCAGATTCTTATCCCAAATCTAATAAATCGGGGTGGACTGTTTTCCCTGGGACACCCTGTATAAGTCGAAACTTGAATTCCAAGGTATCAACCATAACGTTAAAAGATCCTGCATCTGAGCAGTTTTTGGATGGTGTAGCTATGGCAGATAAATTTACAGAGTTTGACATAGCTTTTACAAGTGAAGCTTATCCGGCTCCAGCCCTGCATGACAATAGAGTGGAGAGGTCTATCGAAGAAATACAATTTACAACTGATAGAGTAGAACAAGCACTGAAACGTATGAAAAAAGCCTCAAGCCCATCAGGACCTGATGAAATCCCAACAGTTTTTCTTCAGAACTGTAGTGCTACAATTAGCACATTGCTTGCGGGGGTGATGCACGAATGTATGCTTCATACAAAAATTCAAGCACCTTGGAAATATTCCATTGTACAAAAAAAGAGATTGACATAGACCAGAAAATTATCGTCCTATTAGTCTCACTTGTTACCCGCTGAAATGTATGGAGAAAATTATATACTCCTGAACAAAATTATCGCACCACTGCTTATGGTGATGCTTATGTGCAGTGGTGCGATAATTTTGTCCAGGAGTATAGTTATATACCTATTTCCTTTTACTTCCTAACAGCTTATTACAGAATATTAGTTAAGGAACTGATATCTTCTTTTCTAGAGAACATCTCATACCTTCAGCACAACGTGGATTTCTACCAAAACCTTTTACCACTTTTGGAATGGCTTAATGATTGGACGAACAACCATGACAATAGTCTACCAGCAGATGTTATCTATCTCTAGATTATGAAAAAGCATTTGACAAAGTCCCACATGACCTGTTATTAGTGAAATTAGAGCACTTTGGAGTTAGAGGAAAGTCACTTGCCTTGATCAAGGATCTGCTGGAAGATAGATTTTTTCAAGTGAGAGTTAATGGAGAGCTTTCCAGTCCCCATAGGGTAAACAATGGCGTCGTGCAGGGTTCGGTGATCGATCCGGTGCTGTTCACAGCGTATCTTTTTAATTTGTAGGAACTAATCCAATCAAGTGTTAAATTGTTTGCAGATGATTGCAAAATCCATGCAAATTCTTTGATAGATGTGACTTTAAGTCAAACTGATCTTAAGAACATTGAAGAGTGGTCAAAAACATGGAGAATGAAATTGAGATCTTCAAAATGCACAATAATGAGGATTGGCCTAAATAACCCTAACAAAGACTATATTCACATTCTTAATGACTGATTTGACATCAGTAAAAGAACAAAATGATCTGGGAGTTGTAGTAACAACTGACCTGATGTGGGAGAATCACATAATTAAAATAACTAAAAAAGCTAACTCCTACGTATACTTAATTAACCATGTCTTTAGAGACCACTCCATCGAGATATCTGCCCTTTACAAAAGCTATATAAGGCCAAAAATACAATATGCATATACTGTGCGGAATCCATATTACATTAAGGATATAGAACTTCTTGAGAAGATTCCACGCAGAGTGACAAAATTTCCCCCACAGTTGAAACAGTTGCCATATCCGGAAAGATTACTCAAATTCAATTTGACATCTCTTGAAGAAAGAAGGCAAAGAGGCGATTCAATTGAAATCTACAAAATAAGCGCAAAGTGATACTTTCCCGCACGAAAAAGCAGTTAGACGAACGACGCGAAGCGGAGTTCGGATAAGCTTTGAGTGCGGGAAAGACACTTTGTGCAAGTGTTAGGAACAATATTTTTTCTACTAGTATCTTAAAAAAGTAGACTTTGAATTGTTAAAATATTAGAAAAATCAATCAAATCAAAATCTGCAAAAATCGTTTAAAATCTATTGGAATTCCTCAAAATGTCTTTTTAAATTAAATCCTCAAAAATCTTTTAACATCTTCTGGAATTCCTAGAATACCTGCTAGAATATTTTCATGAGTCGCCCAAATATCAAAAATTCTACAAATTCCTAGCAGTACAGGCTGGTCCAATTTGGACACCTTTGATAGAAAACATAATGTTAACTAACTGCCAAGTTCAACTAAAACCCTTCATTTTGAATATTAGTTTATTCAAAAACCATCAAAACATTGAAAAATCAAGTATAACTATGGTAATTATGCGTAACAAAAATGAGTGCGCAAAGAGTTTCCGTGCGCAAAGTTCAACTTTGCGCACGCAAATGAGTGTGCAAAGTGATTACTTTGAGCACGCAAGTAGAAAAAATATTTTCCATTCATGTCGAAATCCTCATCTTCATGGTCATTCTAAGAAGCTTGAAAAGGAAAGATCATTAAAACTATCTACCTAGGAAAAACTTTTTAGTGAATCGTGTAGTGCATACTTGGAATTTGCTTTGCCAAAATACAGTTTCAGCGCCAAAAACTAATATTTTTAAAAATCATGTTGACAGAGAATTGAAAAAATACTCGGAAAGAATAATTCATTATGGTGCATAAACATCTCACATATCCTTTTAAAATTTTGTTAGAGTAACAATAGCTTCATCGGTTTCGACCGCCTGCTAATTCTAATTACATATAATAATAATAAATTGATTTCTGCTCCACTGTTACCTAGATGGATCATGTCACAAAAGGGCTTTTTGGAAATTTTATACCTTGTCAACATTACCTATTATCTTCCTCAATCTGTTTTCACCAACTCTTGAACTAAGGAGGGTAAGGGATTTCAAGGCGAAATTCTCAAAAATAGATTCATCACAATAATAATTAACTTTTTAATTATGAAATTAATTAATTTCATTAACTGTTTTTGCAAAGTTATGGGCGGATATATTTTTTTTCTGTAATCACTTGAGCTCAAACAAACAACAACGTTTTTTTCAATATATTATATATTTTATTTGTATGTATATGAGTTTAACAACAATTTAATAATAAAAAAACAATCGTGTATACAATTAAAAAATATAAACATCAATTAAACAAGTGTTCCAGATCCAAAATAACAAATTCCAACATCTAATAATTGCTGCAAGTAAAAAGTGCGAAAAAAATCCCACCCTTTTGAAGGTATAAACATACATACAAGCTCTATCAACAAAAATTTGCAAAATTACACTTTCACAATAATTATTTTTTTCCATCTAATTTTGGCCCTTTAAGGGTTTCAATGACTAGCGTTTTACAAAGAATTTTCCACAAAGAGAGTAATGATAAAATGTGCTGCTGATAATTTCTCCATCATGCGTTGAACTTAAAAATTAGGAAAACTTTCTTTGTCTTAATAAGCGTGGTTTTGGATGAAAAGTCCAGCATCTCCTGCTTTGCCTTGAATGGAACCGGCAAGGTATTTGCCGAGTGATGCATCACTGTTAGCCTGAAAAAAAAACAAATAATGCTCATTTATTATTATTATTTTGTCCAATAGCAGGCGGTAGAAACCGATGAGGATATTGCCAAATTGTTTAAGTACACATATTTGACACATTGCACTATAAAAGAGAAGGCCTTCTCAAAAAACTATTCCTATGGTTTATAATGGACTAGTCTTGAGGTGGATTCCTGCATCTCTTGATTTCTTGACAAATTGTATCTTCCTCCAAAGAGTTCCATGTATACACTATTGGATTGATAATAAAGTTTTTTCTACGATATTTCGCGGATTTCTCTTTGGAAAGTTATTTTGAGTGACCTCTTAAATGTTGATTATGATTGATATGGAAAATGTTTGTTAAACAGCACGAATAATAGTCATTAGTTATTGTATAAGTTTCGATTAAATCACCTCGCATTCTTCTTTCTCTCAGAGGTATTAGCTTTAAAGTTTTTAGTCTGTACACTAAACGGTTTGTTCCTCAACTCTCACGGAATTTTAGTAACGCGTCTCTGCACTTTCTCCAAGGCCTCGATATTCCTAGCATAGTAGGGATTCCAGACGCTATAAGCATATTCTAACTTGGGTTTTACGTAGGATTTATGAAACAAATTAATGGTATTTACCGAATCGTCTTTAAATGTATTCCGCATTAAAAAAATGAATTTATTTGCTTTTTTGATTGATGATAGAGCTATGTTATTGAGGTGGTATCTGGCTAGTAGGTTATTTGGACCCATATGCAACACTGAGCATTTCGTTTTATTCAATTTCATATCCCACAGTTTGGACCATTTCACGATTTTATTTAGGTCCGAGAACAGGTCTTCTTCTTGTGTCAGTGCGGATTGCAGTAGAGTTTCGAGTCATCTGCAAAAAATATCATATTGGTCCGAATACTCCACGAGAGGTCGCTGGTATACACAAGAAAGAGCAATGGGCCCAACACAGACCCTTAGGGAATTCCGCTAACAACTGGATATTTCGCTGTGAAGGTACCATTTACTTTTACACAATAAAATCTATTTGTAAAAAATTGGTGAATTAAATCTAGAAGTTTGCCCCTCACGCCAAAGTTCTCCAATTTATGCAAAAACAAGTGATGTGAAACCTTATCAAAGGCTTTCCAAAAATCTAGGCATATAACGTCTGTGCGAGGTGTCGTGATTTTGTTGTCCAGTGACCAAGGCAAGTTAGCAGATTTGTTGTAGTGGATCGTTTTGGAATAAAGTCATGTTGCGTTGGTGTTATTACATTGTTTTCCACAAAAAATGCAGTCAGATCTTCAACAATAATTCTCTAGATACACACAGGGATTACATGTAAGGCTGATAGGCCAGTAGTTCGTTGCTAAGTTCCTTTCTCCTTTCTTGAATAGAGGTGTCACAACTGCATGTTTCCAATCTTCTGGCATTACTCCAGTGTCAATAATATTCTGATACGCTGACGCAAGTAGTGGAGTAAGTGAATTTGCAGAATTCTGAAGAAATATTGTCGGAATATTATCAGGACCCGGACTGGACTCGGACTTCATTTTATTTAATACAGCGGATACATTTTCTTCTGTAAACTCTATGCATTCAATGCTATTGATGGTTCTTGTTTCAGGAGCCAGATGTGGGAGGGCGCTGGTAGGATTATGGGAGAATAATTTATTAAATTGCTCTGCAAGGTTAGCACTTATTAAATTGTCATCTACAATTATTTTGTTGTTATGGTCTTTTAGAAAAATGTCAGTTACAATAGTTGAAATACCTCTTATATATTTTATGATTAAATTTTGTTTACCTTCGCTCTTTTTTCTCACTAATTTTTTTATAACCTGCCCTAATAGCTTCTCTGCATAAATGTCTGGTCATTTCTCATGTACATATGTTCCGGTTTGGTCCTCCATTGCTTTTCTGTTTCTCAGCACTTGCAAAGCTTCTTGCTTTGAAGATAAAATTACTTTGATTGGTAGCATTTTATCTGCTCTATAATTCCCAAGCCTAATGATTCTTGCTGCATCAGGTAGAATTTGCTTTATTTTGGTGGACAAAGAAATTACTTTTTTTCTATCATCTTCTTTCCTTCCTCCCTCTTCATTCTTTCTGGATTCCTCCACTCCAAACATTAATACATACTCTTTCCTTTAGTTCAATTAGTGTTGGTTCTTAAGTGAAGCTGGCCTCTCTTCCATGCTTTTAATGTCGTCGACTTTTTGTTCCAAACCTTTCAGCGCATCCGCCTAGCTGTATGTGGGCATTTTTTTATAAATAACCTCAACTTCCTTCTTCAGCTCAGTTATGGTTTGTCTTGATTCTTCGTTATTTGCTTCTTGGCTTATAATAACATCCTCAAAGCTTTATGATGATATCCTTTCTGTAAGCGCAATAAGATCTTCTTTCATGTCACCTATAGATTTACGTAGTGTTTCCCTTTCACTTTCTTGATCTTGAAAATACTCCTGTATTTTTACCTTGATAGAGTCAAAGTCGTTCTTGAACTTTGCATCATTTTAAACTGTTGACTTCATTGCTTTTAGATCATCAATCAAGATTTTCTTCGAACTTAGGTAGCGCCTTGAACAATAAAGAGCAGTCGGGACATACAAAGATCATTGTTCTGGATGAACTGGGTACACATCGAATCTCAGAAGTTTGCAGTTTAGAGCAACCGGAGCCGATAACTTTTTTGCAGAAATCGCATGGAAAACCAAAGAGTTTTATTTTTTCCTCCTTTGTCTGGCAAACCCCATTGCATTTATAGCAGTAGTTGTGTTGACCCATTGTGTTATTCTCCAAACAAATGCAGAACAAAACACTAATATTTTGGTACAAATTGAAGAGTAAATCCAAAAATAAAAAAGCCAGTAGGTTATAGAGAAGGCTAGTATTGCAGTATAAACAGGTTTATAAAGGGGGCTTATGTTAATTTGTTTTTCTAGTTCACTCTGAATTTAGTTCACAGAAAAAAAAAACATTAAAATTACCTTGGCACGTTTTAAAAGTTCATCTTGACCAGCTTTGACTTGTTCATCTTTGCCGCCCCACGCACGGAGGACTGAAGCTTGAAGGGCACGACCGTAGCTGAAAGTAAGAGCCCACGGTTTCTTGCCTTGGTATCTGAAAATAATGGAAATTCGTGTTCAAAACCCACTTTATCCAATATCCATAGTACACTTACTGGTTGATGGCATTCAAGTGGACACTAGCTTCTTCCTCGGATTGTCCACCAGACAAGAAAGTTACTCCAGGCACAGCAGCAGGTACGGTGCGTTGCAAAGCGGTGACAGTGGCCTTGGCGACATCTTCAGGAGAGAATTTGACAGCGTGCGATTGACCAGCAGTAACCATGTTGGGTTTCAACAGAGTACCTTCCAGGTAGACATTGTGATCGGCCAAAGCTTTGTAAACGAAAGCCAAAACGGTTTCGGTGACTTTTTGGGCGCGTTCCAAATTGTGAGCACCATCGGGCAAAACTTCTGGTTCTACAATGGGTACAATTCTGTTGGCTTGGCAAATTGAAGCGTATCTGGCCAAAACGTTAGCGTTTTCAATGAGAGACTGCAGAGATGGGGTGTGTTCGCCAATTTTTAGGACACAGCGCCACTTGGCAAAATGACAACCGTCTTTTTTGTATTGGGCACAACGTTTGGCCAAATCGTCCAAACCCTGAGTGGTAGTTTCGTCGTTGCTACCAAAAAGTGGCACAACTCCAGTGTCGACTTTGATGCCGGGAATGATGCCCCTTTGTTTCAATAATTCTGGAAACGGAGTACCATCATCAGCTTTCTGGTACAGAGTTTCGTGGAAGAGAATTACTCCCGACACATAATCTCCAATAGTCGGGCATGTGGTGAACAGTAATTGTCTGTATTTGCGTCTGTTTTCATCGGTGTTTTCTACACCAATGTCGGTCAGCCTTTTACCCATGGTGGATACAGATTCGTCAGCAGCTAAAATACCTTTGCCTGGGGCCACGATGGCGTTGGCGATTTTGCGAAGCTCATCTTGGAGGGCGGGGTCAGGGTAGTTCCAGTGGGTGGTCATTTTTGAGAGTTTTTCTGGTAAACTGAAACAAAAAAAATTGTGAAAATTCATCAATGAATACCATAATATACACATATTTGTATGTTAATAATGCATGTCTTTTTCTGATGTACCTGAATCTGCAAACATTTATGAAGAAATAACAAGAAACTTCCAGAAAACCGCAGAGAAAAACTAAGAAATTAAGCAACTACAAAAACAAGAACAAGAAGAAAACACCTATCATATCGAATTAATGGTCACAACCTGAAAATCCAACAGAAACCAGTCTTATGCCTCATTCTCACTTACGCGAAATTCGGTCTTTTTTGACATTGCTTCGACAATTTGACGTTTGATACACGCATAAAACGTCAAATTGATGATGAATTGGATAGAGTTGAAATGGAAGAGGAAAGATTACATGGAGGGGTTATGGAAATACAGAAGAAACAGGGGGCTTTGGGGCCTAGAGTTAGAAGAAAGGTTTTGTACTGAAATTTGAGTATAATTTTGGTTTCCAATTGGAAATCCAACTTTTTGACACGCCTAATGTCTGCCCAGCGACTCTGTGTCTACGGGGCAACGGTAAGGGGAATGCAGATGTAAAAAAAATGGCTGATTTCATTCATAAAATACCCAGCTGCGTGCGGAATTTTTTGGAAGTGTTATCGTATTGCAATTCCTACACGAAAATCGAAAATGACCAAACCCCCGCCACTGGATATTTCAATATAAATCGATATTCCAAGATGGTAGGATACAATGACGGAAGCCCTGGCCAATAGCGAGACGTAAGGTGACGTTAGCCCATTGACAACGACATGGTTCCCCGTGGCAAAAACTCCACCAATCGGGTTCATCCAGGCCGGATGCTTGCCAAATTGTCAAAAACTGATGGTATCTTTAGAAAATGTTTATTTTTTACAATGGACAAAATTGAAGAAATCAGTTATTAGAATAAGAATAGATCTAACAACCACGTTGAAATATTTAGCGTTTTATTGGTATCTATATTTTGTTATTAAAAAATGGATTTTCAAATGAACTATACTTCATGCCTGGTATTTTCTCTTTTTAATAATTAAACGTGACAACATGGCACATTTACGTCCGAATTCCTTCCGTAGACTCAGATCCGCTGGGCAAACAATATGTAGGATCAACAGTGATCATTGGGAACTTATATTTAAGATTACATTATTATCGTCATTACTTTATCATCTGATATGCCTATTTTGAGGTTTTATGGCTTATTTGCCTTATCAGTTTAAAAATGAGTCTCCCTGATTTTAATAATAATTATTCATTGTTTGTTTTTAGGAAAAAGCGACATTTCGCAAAAAAAAATATTCATTCAACTTGACAAATAAGATATGAAAATATGTAAGTATAATAATTTTCCTATCAAATACCTATGTGATAATAATGATAAATTTAAACTCAAATGAAAAATCTAAATTAAAAAAAACAATGTTTATTGGTCATTAATCAACAACCTGATGTGTGATCGCCTGGATATTTTGTGGAACAATTTTGGATTTGTTCCAAAATCGCACTTGTTTGTATGTATATTTTTTGTTAACTTACTGAATAACATGTTCACGATTTTAAAATGATTAAGTAAGTTATTTGAACATTTCTTTTATAAAATTGGAAGTTGAATACAAAATTTGTTACCTACCCACCAATTTTATATCAAACTTCTAGTTGTTAAAGAAAAAAACTACTACTGTGAGCTACTTAGATTGAAAAAAATCTCATTATTTTTTAGCGCAAATTTAGGTATTTTATTCTGAAAATGATACCATCAACATGTTTACAACTCGGTTCACAAATACATTATCCAATAAAAATGTGATTTTGGATTAGGAGAGGAGTAAATAATTTAACCGATTTTTAATAGAACTTGACCTTCGCAATATGACCTTGTTTTCTATAATATAGGTTAACAAGGTCAATAATGTTCCCTTAAATTGACTTTATAAACACAACATTCTAAAAATGAAACTGTATACATATTTTTGTTATTAAAATAAACCAAAGAACTTATATTTGTCTTTGCTTTAGAAACCTTGAATATCATGTCTCGGAGTAAGCTTAAAGTTTACTGGATCAGCTACAACTCATATTGCTGATTTTAGATTTTTCGCAAGTGGTAAACCGCTGGGAATTATGGTGTACAAAATCAGGAAATCACTAGAAATAACAGGGAAATATTAATTGTTTGAATTATGGGGATGGAAATTGCCAAGGAATTGTTGAAATTATAAAGGAATTGTGGGAATTATTGTGGAATTAATTAGGAAATGCGAAAATTGTTGGGCATTATTACAAAAGCGTGCAAGTTTGAACCACCAGGGTTATGATTGAAAGAAAAGGATTATTCCAGTTGTTATCAATTAAGAGTAATGTCTTAATCTTTCAAAAGGCATTAGTGTCTGCGAAATATGTTAAAATTGAAGTTTTCCATTGGGAAGTTAATGTTTAGACGAGTGTTTAGAGCATCAGCTTCAAAAACCGCTACTGTTTCATTAATAATCATGTTAGAAAATTAGAATATGCTGGAAAAGCTTTAATGAGTTTTTAAATTTTTAGGTTAGTTCCTTTTCCTGAATAGAACAAAGTTGGGACAACAGAACCTAAACTCTCTAAGTATTTTTGCCAGTTCAGTCTACCCTTATATGTAGTTCTAAATGACAATTTGATAAAATTTAATTTTCCAAAGAAAAATTTCAAGCTCATTTACTTTTCCAGAACTTGACCTTAGTACTAATAGCTTTGTTCGCAGTTAAGGTGTTCAGAACCAATTCTGAACAATAAGGAAGCAATCACATTAAATACTTTTTTTTGTTAGACTGTCACTTATTGCTATTTTCTATTGTGATTGGTGCTTTAGCGTTCAGAACTGGTTCTGAACCGTAACTGCGAACGAAGCTATTATTTAAGTAGGTACACTTGGCCAAATATAAAACTGGTATAGACTAAATCACGATAGAAAGTGAAGTTGACAGTTCGCGTTGACATTTTTAGTAAACTTTTTCTTTAGGTTGTCAGCATGTGTTAGCGCTTCGATTCCGTCAGCTGGGATAAACGACAGGGTCGTATTTAGAAAAGTGATATACATTTCAGAATAAAAAATTATTTTCAATTTCTTTAAAGGAAGTTAAGTTATTAAAATCCAAAAATCCTAAAATTAGAGTCCAAAGTAAACACTTATAAAAAGAGTAAACACTTAAATCCAAACTAAAACCAGGTTTGAAACGCAACACCGAAACACAAAGGCACAGAACACTACAGAAAAAACCAAAAAACCGATTGCGATAATAACAAATAAAAAAATAATGCAGAAAACGGCAAAAAACTGAACGATTCTACACAAAAATTCGAAATTCAAAATTCAAAGACCCGAATCTGATATTTTTATGTGTCAAATCAAAATGTCATGTATTATTATTTGATAGTTGTCAGAAAAAGGGACAGATCTGGGGATTTTATTTATTTTCAACTGGTGAAAATAACGGTCAAAATTCAAACTCTATTGTGAATACGACTATACATGCATTTTTCTATGTGTTCTATTGTGTAATCGACCTTTATTATCACCTCAAAAATGACAAAAAGAGTAAGTCAGTGTCATCTTTAAATCAAACAAAATGCCGCCGTAAATAAAAGTCAAAATGACATTATGTTGGCAATACAATGTAAAATTGTCAATCTTTCAAATTTTTTATGTAGAAAAGGCTTGTGTTGCCAACATCGTTACTAAATTTTTGACTTGGGGAATCATCTTTAAGAAAAAACAGACTTTACATACTTTTTTAAAGGATCCCGCACACTTCTTATGAGATTTCTGACTGCGGTCAAATTTAACCAAATTTTAGTATGTTATAGATCTCACCTTTCTGATCAATAACTACCATGAGCACAACATAATCCTATGACTAGTGTTTGAGATACAGGTAGTTTAATGTCCAAGAAATGTACACATTTTATATGCATTTACATCTACCTGTCATCTAAAAATATATCAGGATGGACAGGTATCCTTACGCTCAGGTGACAGGTAGATGTAAATGCATATAAAATGTATATAAAAAAATACATTTCTTGGATATTAAACTACCTGTTCCCCAAAAACTACTCATAGGATTAAGGCTAAGTATTATAAAAATATTTTGACAGAGAACTAAAAGTTAACTTCTGGACGAGCTTCTGGAATAACTATGAAATTCCAGAAGTTGACTTTTAGTTATCTGTCAAAGTAGTTTTATAATAGGTACCCGCCCTAAGTTGTGCCCATGGTAGTTATTGATCAGAAAGGTGAGATCTATTACATACTAAACTTGGTTGAATTTGACCGCGGTCAGAAATCCCATAAGAAGTGTACGGAGTCCTTTATTTATAATGCTAGTTTTAAATCAGTATTTTTGACAATTGACAGATGACACATCACTAAAAATCTACCAACCTTATAATGGCTGAGTTCGTTCGGCTTTGCACTCTACGGAGCGTAACGGTATGAGCATGGATATCGTGACGTCATAGGCAGAGTGAGCTCTGAACAAGTAGGTATGTAAGCCGAACGCAGATCGAAGAAAAAAACAATAGAATGGTGTAAATGGCCAAATTCATGTTCTTCTGGAAATGTACTAAACTTAAACTGATTCAGTGTTAGTGTGAAACTGGGCCAGCACAACTTTTACTAACAGAATACAGTAATAGATAATACAGTTTTCCAAAAATAAATTAATACTCATTCTAGCAGGTAGCTTTGCAACTTGCAAAGAACAAGAACAAAGTATTTTTATTTGATAATAATATTTTACTTAATTACCTCTACCCCCCCATATCTACGCCCTTGAACCCGAGGGATAAAGCACTGGTGGAAATCCGAGTGGAAATCATTTTATATTTTTTTGGGAATCACATAGTAATCAATCAGGAATATATGGAAATCACTTGGGAGTCCTTGGGAATAATCTAGGAATTGCTAGATATCTCCTAGGACTCCATGGGAATAACATAGGAATCCATCGACAATCGCTGAGAATCATGTGGTAATCGCTGGGAATATCATCTCATTCCGACACAGAAATCGCATATCATACATTTTAAACAATATAGCGTACTGGTTAGTTGTGTATTTGCCTTCAAGACTAAGTTTTAGGTAGCAGCGAGTGCTAGACAATTTGATATTCCAACGAGTTTCCCGATAACTGAACTCGAGACTACGAAGAGTTTAGAACTTAAAGAAGAAAGAGATGAACATTAGGTCTGTTCTCACAGAAATCACACACCAGTCAGAGCATTTTTGAGCGTTTCCTGACTATTTTCAACCTATGAAATTCACTCTGACTGGTTTGGGATTTCTGTAATAACAGACCTAAAGTAGGTTGACAATGTTGTAGATTATAAAAATGAAAACATGGATCTTGAAACCTCTCTCAAATCGGACTTGCTGCAAGAAGACAAAGAATTTTCTCATCAGGGTTTAGCAATTGCGATTCGCTACAATAATTAAGAGATTATTCAGGGCTCAACTTGAATTTGGTTCTTTTCAGAGAAGCAGGGACGTTTGTCGATCGAGTATCAAGAGCTATGGGAATGTCCCATAGGAAGACACAAAAGAAAAAGTTGGGAACCCCAGGCAACAAGAACTTGAAAAGGGAAAGTAGAATAGATACTAGGCAGGGCGAGAAGTAGAGGCGATAGCACATGTGAATTAGAAATAAGTTTGTCAAGTGTCACCCTAACTGAAGATGTCTCTCATCCAGATGAACATCCTGGTGATATCAAAGAAATATCCATTATTCTAGATGCATATTATGCAGTGTAGACACACAATAGTATCTAGGGCTACAACAAAATCAGTGTGGGTGTGGACAACCATGAAAATAAAAGTTGCTAACTTTTGGAAGAGTTGAAAATACACAATTTTTCAGTGGAAACGTGTTTTAATAAGAGAAGAGACTGTTTGTCTAATAAAATCAGCTGAGAATCGGATTATTCTAAGAAATAATCAAGGAAATCAGGTAATCAATTGGGAAGGATAAAGGAATCTCCAGAAAAATTGAAATCACCTGGTAATCATACAAAAATATCTGAAAATGATTGGCAATCAGGGATGGGAATACATGAGATTCATTGATCAGTGATCGCCAAATATGGAAATCATTGCACATAGTATACAGGGTGTCCCACGGTGGATGGCGTATTAGACGTTTATGGAGAACTAAAAAGCGAATCATTTTGAAAATTTGGCAACCGGGATAAACGACCATAATCTACACTTTAAAAATATTTTTGTTTATGCAGTGTTGCCGCTTCTACTCTAAACCAGTGGCAACATCGCTATTTTAAATGGAAAACCCTATGTGATTGCATATTTGGATTCTACGTAAAATTCTGAGCAGATTTCTTGTGATATACTCTATACCTAAATTCAACTGTTTTGGAAATATTGACAGTTGAAAATTGACTTTCTGCAACTTTGATAGGCTGTAAAACCTGAACGGGTAATTTTAGAGAAAAACCGATTTTACATTCCTGTCTTAGATTTTCAAGAGCTATCATTTGACACCAACTTTGAATTTAAGCGGAGATTAAATTTAATTGGAATTTTTAATCATGGATTAAATTCGAAATTGGTGTCAAATGATAGTTTATGAAAATCTAAGATAGAAATGTAAAATCGGTTTTTCGCTAAAATTAACCGTTCAGGTTTTACAGCCTGTCAAAGTTGCAAAAAGTCAATTTTCAACTGTCAATATTTCCAAAACAGTTGAACTTAGGTATAGGGTATATCACATGAAATCTGCTTAGAATTTTACGTAGAATCAAATATGCAATCACATACAGGATGTTCCATTTAAAATAGCGATGTTGCCACTGGTTTAGAGTAGAAGCGGCAACACCGCATAAACAAAAATATTTTTAAGGTGTAGATCACGGTAGTTTATCCCGGTTGCCAAATTTCCAAAATGATCCGCTTTTTAGTTCTCCATAAACGTCTAATACGCCATCCACCGTGGGACACCCTGTATAGTGGTTGATTTGGTGTAACCGTTGTATAACCGAGTGTATAGCTATGGCTATTTTCATAGAAATATTGATTGGTATCACTCGGAATTATCAGGAATTACTAAAGAATTGTTGGAATTGAAAGGAATTTCTGGAAACTGTCGGGCATTACTGAGAATTATTAGGTATTGCTAGGGAATTGTTATTCATTGCTGGGGAATTGTGGGTATTAGGTGGAAATTAAGAGTAATTCCCCAATTAGGCAATGTGGTGTATAAAAGATGGAACAGCGGTTTACCCCTTGATTTTTTTTTTTTTGCTCAGGGAAGTTTGAGTATGCAGAACAGAAACAAATAAATTTGCTCCTCAAGTTCTCATACCTAGTTGTATAATTTTGCCAATTTATTTTTCGGAAGTGTGATCAATTACCTAAATATTTAAATAATTGTTTTTAAATAATTTTAATGATTTTTACACTTCAGAAACAAGTTAATAACATGTAAAAAAGGCCCATTTGTGAGTTAGAGGTAGTGGATGAGAGACTAGAGAATAAAATTTTGAGCCTATTCATCAGAATAAGTAAGTAGGTAGGTACCTAATATGTATGTGTATTAGTAGAAACTACAAAGATCAATACATTCTTCATCTTATGTACCCATATGAGTTATTTTTTGAGATTCCTTGGATCCTGAACTTGGTCTCAAGTACCTACTATGATGCTATTTTTTTCTACTTTGGGGCTCAGGGAGAAAGTTAAAGAGAACATGAACATACTTTTCTTTTGAGGTCCTAATTTTCATAGTTAAGAGGTACTTCTACCATTTATTTGCATTAAAAGACAAGCTATATTATAATTAAGCTCCTTCTAATACCAAAATAACCAATAAAATAAATACCTACTGAAAATATGGTAAGAAACAAATCAAAATACATTTTAGGATATAAATAAAATTTCAAATATAGGCACTACAGTTCAAGTACCAGTACTAATATTCTATGGAAATATCCTCGAAAACTTTTGTGTATTTGGAAAAATCTCCCTATTAAAACATCCCCGAAAGCAAAAGACCAACAATTTCTTATCTCTATGAAACCCATTGAAAACTTAGACTCTCAATTATAAATATTGAAATAAAAAACTCACGTTTTCCCTTTAAAATTTAAGAACCAAGAACTCTGGGTGGAACTTCAATTTGGAATTAAGTTTTTCTGAAGGACGTTTAGAGGACAATTCAGTCAAAGAGACATTCAAACTCGAACAGACGTCCGTCAAATTTTCCGTCTCCTTTTTATACACGGGCAAAAGAAAGGTGAAATAAATCGTCGGTCACCGAATCTTTTATTTGGAATATTTTCCTGGGAAATTAGCATTTATTTAAAAGCATCATAAGGTTCAAAGTTGCATATTGCGCAATGTTGCATAAACTTTGGCATAAACTTACGTCACGAGAGAGAAATTACAGTAGGTCTGTTTGTGCAGAAATCACAAACCAGTCAGAGTGAATTTCATTGGTTGAAACTAGTTTTCTGACTGCTTTCAAGCAATGAAATTAGCTCTAACTGGTTTCTGATTTCTGCAGAAACAGACCTACTGACTCAATAACCTTTTCAACATAACGTGGCGCCATCTATGGGACAATGGCTGGCATTAAATAAAATTGAACAAGAAAAATTACAGTCCGTCAAATAACAAGACCATTTGACAAAGAAAGGTATAGTGTAGGATAAATATAAGAAGACGCGGATCGAAAACGCAATTTATAATTTTGTTTTGAAAACAATTTGCCATTATAAAATGTATTAATCTAATATTTATTAATTGATAATAAATTTTCGATTTTAAATTCATTCATTTGATACTTAATTAACGACTGAAATAAAGAAAAAATTCCTGAGATCAAATTTTTATGCATTTTGCTTCTTTGGGGATAAACATCAAGTTGTGCCTCTTGGACCTTCGAGGACTGAAATGAATAATGAGTAGTAGTGCTCCCAAAATTACGTACCATATTATTCCTGTAGATTTGAATAATTAATATTTTATTCCTTACCTATTTATGTATGGAATATTTTTCATAGAATCTAGAGACTATTATTTTTGCTCGATTATACCAGGGTAAACAGGTGTCAGCAACAAATATGTTCAAATAAGATTCTACAAAAATAGGAAACCCGTTAGTTACAGTTAACCCCTAAAATTCGCCCCTGAAAATAATATTTTTTTATGTCTCAGAAACCTACTGTTGTACGAGAATCACTATCTTTGGCGCTTAGGCGGAGGACCGCACCTCAAGACACTTTTTGGTGAGCCCCTGTAGTAGGAGCCTCAAAAGGCAGTGTCTGCGTGATAGTCCAGAGACGATAGGAAGCTTTATGTCGTGAAGCTGGAACAAAATCACCTAAAGCTGACTGTTGCGGGAATGTTTAGCCTTTGTCCTCCAGATTAACATACCAAAAGTCCCCACTCGTCCTCTTAGCGGAACCCTCCAAAAATTGTGTTTTTTTTCCGAAAAAATTGTAGTTTTTTTAAGTTTTTGAAAATAACTTATAAATAAGTAGAAATTTCAAAAAATGGTGAGAGGAAAGATTTGGAGACCGATAAATGCTTGACAATTTTTATTTTTATAAAAAAGTCGTAAGTATGGTCGTAAGACTAACCAAAAAGAAGTTATAGTACTTCAAAGTTTGAAATAAAAAAAAATATCGTAATTTAGAATTAGGTACGTCTTTTCGGAAAGTTGGCGTAAGACATAAATTATAATATGTGATGAGCTACTGTAAAGCAATCTGAGTTCTTATCAAATAAAAACAATAAAAAACTATTTATTGCCAAATAACTAAATATTTACTAGTATTCAGGTTATTCAAGCAGAAGGTGATGCAGACATAGCAGATATCGTAGATACGGCGCTAAAAACAAGAAAATCTAAAAATTCGGTTATGGTTGTGGGTGAAGACACAGATTTAATGATTTTATTATTACACAAAAATACACAAGAAGAGGTTTATTTGATAAGGCCTGGTAGTTCTGCAAAGCCCAACAAAATCACCGATGTTAAAAAATTACAGGATAGCATAGGCTCTATGAAGAATACGATTTTGTTTTGTGACGCAATTTCCGGATGTGACACTACTTCGGCCATTTATAAAAAGGGAAAGTTGTCTATCTACAGGGTGCTTGAGAAACAATCGGACTTGAATCATAAAGTGGTGGTATTTTTGGATCCTGAAGCAGACCACCGTGATGTAACAGCTGTTGGTGAACAATTTTTATTGGCTCTCTATGGTGCTGGCAGAGCAGTCAAAACCTTAGATGATTTTCGGTTTCTTAAATTTTGTAATAGCACAGCAAGACTAGGTTTGAATAAAAATTTTGAATTAGCATGTTCACCACCTACTTCAGATGCTGCAGCTCACCATAGTATGAGGGTCTATCTGCAAATACAAGATTGGTTGGGCAATCCATTACCTCCAACAATTTGGGGCTGGAAAAAGCATGGCCTATGTCTTTTGCCTGTAACAGCAGATAAACCTGTGGCTCCCGAATTTATTCTTAAAATGATATATTGCAATTGCAAAACGGACTGTTGTAAACTCTGTAGCTGCAAAAAATCAGGTCTAAATTGCTCTAATCTATGTGGTCAATGTCAGAGGAACTTTTGCAGCAATATATTCCAAGAGTATGTAGATGATAAATACCTGTTCGATGAAATAGATACTTAATTTCTCAGTTATTTTCAACTATCCCTATTTGATTATTAAGTAAATATTTCTCTATTCTGTTTTATATAAATAAATAAAGCGTTTAACAATGAAAACTAATATATTTTATTGTCTTAGCACTAAAGTCAGGATTTTAAAATTGCTTTTATGCATCTAATTAACGTAGTTGGTCAAAACATAACAATAATTAAGTAGTTATCATCCAGATTGAGTTCTATCGGTTAAGTAAGACCTGAGGCATCACAGCAACATGACACCATGAAATCCCAGTGCCCTGAGTTTATTAAACAACAACGTCATATTTACTGTGTCGAATGCCTTGCAGAAGTTAGTATATATCGCATTCACCTGAGAGTGATCCTCTAACGCATTCAGCACAAACTGTAAAAGCTATCATATTAGTAGTTATGCTTCTGCCGTAACAATACCCATATTGTTGTTCAACAGTAATCGAAAATAGATCACTCTTCATCCGCTGGACAATCAGAGCCTCAAACAACTTGGGTATTGAATTCAAAATCGAGATTGCTCTATATGTTCTAACATCAGATCTATCACCACTTTTATGAATTGGAGTTATAAAGCTATGCTTCTACCGTTCTGGAAATACTCCCGATCTGAGAAACTCGTCTAAAAGCATATGTATGGGTTTTGCCAGTGAGCATCTATACAAACTTTCAAGAGGATTGGTGGTATACTATTAGGTCCGGGCCCTTTGTAAATATCTAAATTACAAAGCACATAATAGATTGATTGTAGATCAATCAAAATGTCAGATGTTAATTTAGAAATCGCGTCTGCTGTAGATTTGTTGTTGAAATGCTGCAGAAGGCAGAGAATACGTTGTAAAACAACTGAAAACACTTTCCAATAAATGCGTGGGAAAATACGGCACGATTGGGAGACTGCTATCGTCGTTCTGATATACAAAAAAGGAAACCCATCAAATTTTGAAAACTTTAGACCCATAAGCATTCTGTCTCAGATATAAAAACTGTTTCTGAGAATATTCACCAACTGCCTATAGAAAGGAAATTCGATGATCACCAACCTAAAGAACAAGCAGGCTGTATAGAAATAGCTATTATATAGAACATCTTCACACAATAAGAATAGGTACCTACTTAATGAAAAGGCGACCGATACCTATAACATTATTACAACATGGTTAGCATTCATGGATTTTGCGAAAACCTTCGACACTGTAGAATTTTGGGCGATAGAAAGAGCTATGAGAAATGTACGAATAGATCAGCAATACATAAACATATAGGCAAAAATAATCAAGAAGCAAAAAAAATAAAATTAATAATGCATGAAGATCACTGGCGTAGCCAGGGGGGGGGCAAGGGGGCATTTGCCCCCCTCCAAGACCCTTAAATTTTATGAATATTTCTTCAAAATTAAGATAAACAGTCCCAAAAATAGCGTAAAGAAACCTGAAAAAAGGGCGTGGCACCCAAAAATTTCGCACCTGCGGCGCTTTGCCTCCGGCAGCGGTCGCGGTAGGGCCGCAAGAGACGCTTCCTGCAAATTTGCCCCCCCCCAAGACAAAATCCTGGCTACGCCACTGATGAAGATACAAACGAAGTGAAGATCAAAAAAAGACGTAAGACAGGGCGATATAATATCACCTAAGCTGTTCACCTTAGTTCTCGAAGATATGTTCAACGAACTACATTGGGAAAATAGAGGGATCAATAAATCTAGGGGAAACCTCAATAATTTAAGATTCGCTGATGACATTGTAATATTCGCCCAATCGCCCCGAACGAAACAGACTTAGAAATCATGCTGGAAGAATTGATCCAAGAAGCCAAGAGGATCGGAGTAGAAATGAACGTATCAAAAACAGTTTATGAAATCCGCAAACAGATGGGACATGACACAATATCCATAGACAACCAACAGGTGAAAAAGTAAATTCCTGCAAGTATCTAAGACAGGAAATAACACTTGGCAAAGTCAATCAAGAGCTTGTAATTGATAGGAGAATACGACTGGGATGGGTGGCGTATGGTGAAATGCGCCACATAGCCACATATTCTGGTCCAAGTTGCCTTTGAAGGTGAAAACTAAAGTCTACAACGAATGTATCCTGCCAGTAGTTGCCTATGGAAGTGCTCACAAAGAAAATCATAAATGAGCTTGCAAGTACAGTGGGAATCATTGCAATTGGCACACACTATATAAATATCCCTCGTAATGTGTCAAATCTGACACACCAGTAATAGCAAAATGCTGCACTAAATAGATTTATTGGTTAGAATTTTGACTCAATACGAGGGATTTCAAAGAGTGTGTGCCAATTGCAATGATTCCCACTGTACATCAAAGAGCAGTCGAAAGGAGAATGATAGGCATTACACAAGACCAACGAGTCAATAAGAAACACAACAAAGACATTACACATAGAATAAGCACCCTCAAATAGAACTGGACCGGCCACGTAACGAGAAACACAAGCAGCAACTTGAGCGGAAAAGTAACAAGATGGAGACCCTGGGAAGGAGTCGCACAAAATCTGAGACAAGCCTATATCCAGAGGATACAGAACGGCTAGGAAGACGAAGAAGAAAAACGCCCATTCAATTTGGGATTTTTTTCTT